ACATATAAAGCATTTTGAACTCTTTGTAAGTAAGTGTAAGTTCTGAGTAAATTGCAGCAGGTATAAGAATTTACACCATACATAGGAGGTTTAACGAACCAATTTCAAGAGGTGTAGGGATGCTTCAGGAAGATTGATCTTGTTGGATGTGAGCAGAGGCTGAAGTCAGGAAACAGTTACAGTTTTGGGTGTAATAAATTAGACTTGAATTAACAAAGGTCTGACTAATGAAAGGAAACTGCAGGAAGAATGTCTAAAGGAATTGACTAAATTAGAGGCTAGGTGACTAGGTGTCAGGGATAGAGAAGAGTAAGGAGTTTCAGGTTACACCGAGCTTTGGAGCCTGTGAACTGTGAAAACAGTGGTACCTTGATCAGTTTGAGGAGAGGGATAACTCTCGAGGAACAGGCACTTATGAAAGCATGTAGGTCATAGGGAGAAAATACTCAAAAGTATAATTTATAATAGGATTGAACCTCTGGGGTGGAACAGTAGGGGAAGCTCTTTAGAAATTTGTGGGGGAAATTTTCACACACGTGACCTCTTTAATCTAGAGAAACTTGGGAGGTGCTGCGTAGGGAGGCAGTGAGTTAGAGGAAAAATTCAAGAATAGCTCTGATCATGGAGGAAAAGGAAGAAATAAATTCTGTTGAGAGGCAAGAATAGCATGGCAGGGAATCAGCATCCAAAATCTGATTAAAATCCCGATTTGTAAAAATGTAGAGTTTCCTAATGCTTTGTAGTCTGTGGGGATATGCCTTGCAAATACTTAGCCAAGGTGGGGTTTAAATGGCTCAGTTCTTTTCAGTACCTCACAGCATCCTTAGAAAGGACAATTAAGAAATAAAGCCCAGTTTCCATTCCAACTAATTTATAATTCAAAGGCATCATGTAAGACAATCTTTCTGATACATGTAAATCCATTAGAACTGGACTCATTTCATTTGATCTGGAAGGAATAATCTGGGGCAGGGAATTTAGAAATAGAATTTACATTACTTTAGAATTTGTGTTACTTTAGAATTTGCGTTACTTTAAGTGCTTACACTGGATTTCTTCGGCACTCATAACTTGTAGATTTCCTGAATTAATTCTGTTATGTGTTTTGAGGGGGAATCCACCCAGCTGGGCTTTGGGACTTCTCCAGGCTGTCTTGGTCGCTCTTGCCACACTTGGGAGACTGTGTGGCCAGAACACCATTCTGAGTCATGGATGTTTCTTCAGGTGATAATTGAGTCTCAGATAGTTTCTCATTTTCCATTAGGAAGTAATCTGTTGGGAACCATGTTAAAAACAGGTTCCCAGCTCCAGGCACTATTAATTAATTTGTTTCTGCGCTTTCAGTGTCAGTACATTGTGGTAGTTGGCCCTGTCTGAAGGGTTATAGGTGGGAAGCTGGAGAGAACTGATGAGGATTTCTTTGTTGTTGTTTCTTAGATGTTGCTTGTTCCCAGGGCTGCAATTTTCAATTTTTTTACTAATAAAAATATTTTAATCTAATTTTTATAAAGTAGTTCACAATATTTGATTGCATTTAATATTTGGACACCAGTCCCACCCCCATTATACCTCCCCACACCATATTTTGGATGTTTCCATCCTGAATCCCAGCCCTACCCCAAAGCAGAACCGAAATAATTGATTTGATATTGTTTGTTAGGGATAAACCTCTGAAAATGCTCCAACAAAGTTTCTTTAGAGGAAAGTGTGTGAAGGTTGTTGTATCTCACCCAAGGGCCCTTAAGATCACTAACATGTTGTTAAAGGTTGAGCCTTATGTGCAGAAATATATTTCCCTCTAAAATTGGTAGCCTTCTCCTTTAAACCCCATCAAATGTGTGTGCTACTCATATGAGTGGCGTGAGTATGAGATGTCCAGGAATAGGTTCACTTGTGGGTGAGGCTCGGCCTGAGTGTGTGCAGAGCAACCTTGAGCGTGACAGCGGTTGGGTTCTGGAGGTTTTTGGCTGTCGGGGCTGGGTCCCCTGGGACATGGAGGGCTCTCACCCGCCCCCTGAGTGAAACAGCCTGGCGCGGATTCCGGTGGCATGGTTATGGCGAGTGTCATGTTATGCTCCCTTCCGGGAGAGAAGGACCAGAGATCTCTTATATTCCACATTACTGTACCTTTGAAGTCTATTTCTTGTTAATCTTTTTTCAGTTAGGGGTTGTAAAGTCTTTTTTCCTTCTCTTCTCCTCCTCACCGCTCAATGTATCATCTTGTCTTTAAGGACATTGCAAGGACACGTTTCTCAGGAATGTGACCTCATTTTCTTACCAGTTTCAGATTCAGTGCACTGAGCTTATGTTTTACATGTGGGAGGCCCTGGTTCAGTACCTGTCACTGCATGGTCCCTGCTAGTTTCTGGGAATGACTCCCAAAGACGGAGCCAGGTTAGCCCCTGAACACTGCTGGGTATCCCCCACCCCTGTCATTTTTTTTTTTCTTTTTGGGTCACAGTCGGCATTGCACGGGGGTTACTCCTGGCTCATGCACCCAGGAATTACTCCTGGCGGTGCTCAGGCGACCATATGGGATGCTGGAAATCATACTTGGGTCGGCCACGTGCAAGGCGAACGCCCTACCCACTGTGCTATCGCTCCAGCAAGCCAGCGTCTGCCTTGCATGCAGCCAACATGGCCGACCCGAGTTCGATTCCTCCGCCCCTCTCGGAGAGCCCGGCAAGCTACCGAGAGTATCTCGCCCGCATGGCAGAGCCTGGCAAGCTCCCCGTGACGTATTCCATATGCCAGACACAGTAACAACAAAGTCTCCAATGGAGACGTTACTGGGCCCGCTCGAGCAAATCGATGATCAACGGGAGGGCCTTTACTTTACTTTTACTTTTAACAGGGAGATCTCATGTGTTAGAGTACATACTTAGCATGTGTGAGACTCTGCGCTCAATCCTTGATGACCCCTGAGCACCACTTGGATGACTGATGGATTCCTGAGTCCCAATTAGGCCTGAGTATTATAGCCCCAGGCCCTATGGTGAACTGCCAGGCACGCATCTCCACCAAATATTTGTGGGAGTATCTTCAGCCTTCCCGCCCCCACCCTCCCGCACCAGTAGGTATGGCCCCTATTGTAAAGAGAAAAGAGAAAGTCTAGGGTCTGTATGTGGTCTCTTACTGCGCAGACCAGACCAGCAAACCATAGCAGGTTTCCTCTGCTCTGTCTTCCTTTCCCCCCTGCAGGTCTGTGTAGAACTTGTACTCATTCTTCCAGGAATGATGAGTTACTTCACCAGTATCTCATTGTTGAATTGGATTGCCTGTGACACAGTATATTTAGTTTAATTTAGGATCAGATCGTACTTTTTGTTTCTGTTTTTGTTTTTGGGTCACACGTGGCAGCGCTCAGGGTCACTCCTGGCAGTGCTCGGGGATGATCTGGGCTGCACTCCCTCCCCGGTGTTCTATTGCTCTGGCCCCAGAGGATACTCTTTATGAAGAGATTTTAAGAAGCAGCTAAACTCGGCTGAACAGCGGCAACCTGAGCACTGATGACCACAGTTGGACTCTCAGCAGACTGACAGCGGACACAGCTCCTGTTGAGCCGACCGCTGTTGGCAGCAGCGCATAAGTTCAAGATTCATTTTAATTTCAGGAATTAAAATGGGGGAAGCATGTATTTTAGGGTCTCTCTTCTAAATTTTCAAGACCCATTTGAGTGTAAAGTTCTAAGTAGAAAGTGTGATGGGGGAGGGAGAGCGTGAGTGAGTGAGTGAGTGAGTGAGTGAGTGAGCGAGCGAGCGAGCTGTAGCAGAAATGGTGAGATGGGTGAATGGGCTTCTTAGATTAAGAAACTTATATAAGGGGCCTGAGATGTAGTACAGTGGGTAGGGCACTTGTGCGGCATGTGACTGACCCCGGTTCAGTTCTTGGCACCCCATATGGTCCCTTGAGCACTACAAGAAGTAATATCATGAGTGCAGAGCCAAGAGTAACCCCTGAGCGCCACCCTGTGTAGGCCCCCTCCCTAAAAATCATATGTGTGTGTGTGTGTGTGTGTGTGTGTGTGTGTGTGTAAGATCACATACACCCTCCTCCCCATGGTGATGGGAAAGAAGCACGATAAGTTAAAATGTATACCCTAGTACCTTTGGTTCACTGCCTAGCACCTTTCATTAATCAAGGCTAAAGAAGAAAAATTTTGACTTTTCCACTCTGGGGATGTCTGTATTCTCTCCTGAACGTGTGTTTCTTTCCTTGTGTTTCCCACTGGGGCAAGCCTGGGTTCTCTCTTAAACATACATTTCTCTCCTCCGTGTTTCACACTGTGCAAAAGGCTGTGTTTTCTCTTGAACATGTATTTCTCTCCATTATTCCCACTGTGAAGAAGCGTGGGTTCTTTCATTTTCCTCTTTCACTCTCATCACATCCAATTAAATTTTTTTCAGTAAAAATATTTTGTTCCACTAAAAAATAAACACAGTCCTCCCGTTGTTCATCGACTTGCTCGAATGGGCCCAGTAACGTCTCCATTTTGAGGCTTGTTGTTACTGTGCTTGGCATATCGAATCCGTCACGGGGAGCTTGCCAGGCTCTGCCGTGCAGGCGAGATAGTCTCGGTAGCTTGCCGGGCTCTCCGAGAGGGATGGAGGAATCGAACTCAGGTCGGCCATGTTGGCTGCGCGCAAGGCAAACGCCCTATCTGCTGTGCTATTGCTCCAGCCCACTAAAAAAAGAAAATAAATAAAAAATAAAGATTTTAATTTGGTTCAGTACCGTACGTGGTCTGCTTTTCACTGATCTTACAGCTTCATCTTACGGCATATCTCCTTTTTCAAGAAAAACATACGTAGATGGCAGACTGGAATGTCAGGGCAGATGACTTGGTGGCTCATTCTGCCTTCTATGGCGTTACAAACACGGGGCTCTAATGTCACTCTGGTTGAAGAGCTTAAGCAAAATACATTTCTTAGTTATGCTTTCTGGCCAGAATTCTGCATTTCATCTTGGTTAACTTTATGGAGGGGTTTGTCTCTTGACAGGTTTCTCCACATAGAAAAGTCGATTGTAAAAATACGGGAAAGAATGGCAGCGGAGACGCAGACACTGAACTTTGGACCTGAATGGTGAGTTTTCAGAATCTCATACTGTTTGATACTGAAATGTCTAGTACAGTAGTAAAGTACATACATGCTGCTGGAGTTTATAAGTACGTCCTTATTGTTGTTTTTGAATGGGAAGTCCGCTTTACTGGTGGGCGGGACTCGGCAGCTCCGCTGCTGGCGGGAGGCAGGGCTGCCGTGTGATCCGGGATGTGTCAGATTCTGCAGCCGTCCCGGATGAGCTGCTCTTCAGCCCCCGTGTCTTCACACGCATCCTTGGCCATTCCACCTGGTCGAGCCCCGTTTCCGGGAGACGTGGCTCTTCCGGTGACCAGGGAACTTGACCTTGGCCTTGCCTAGAGCCTCCGTCCCCTGCTCCTTGTTCTGCAGCTTGGAGCTGATGGGCAGGATTATTTGGCCAATGCGGACCTTTGGCCACTGTGCCCAGGACCTTTCCAGAGGCATCAGCATGGGTGTCTGGAGCACGAGAGCAGCGATGAATGTCCACCAGCAAGGACAGTCTTTGAGGTCCTTTAGGGCAGCCCGTACCCGCCATAGGCTCTGGATAAGCGGCTGTCAGAAGCCATCACACTTCAGCCCCACAAGAATGAATGTGCGTGCTTTGGGGACTGCTCGATGTGCCTAGTTGAAATCACTGTCACTATTCCAGCAATAAATTATATTTGTTTAATGATTGCATACTATTTTAAATATTTATTATGCGTTAAAATGTTTTTTTCTTGGTCTGTTTAGAACTCCTTCCAATACACCACCACCCTAGCAGATCATTTACTTTTGTTTGAGATCTTGTCTAGGTCTATGTATAGTTTTCAGTAATTGTAACATTTTTGTGTATGTATGTCATTTGTTGCAATATTGAGTTTTTTTTTTCTTTTTTGGGGTCACACTTGGTAATGCACAGGGATTACTCCTGACTCATGCACTCAGAAATTACTCCTGAAGGTGCTCAGGGAACCATATGGAATGGTGGGAATCGAACCTGGGTCGGCCATGTGCAAGGCAAACGCCCTACCCGCTGTGCTATCACTCCAGCCCCTGTTGTTTTGCGGTTGATGAGATTGATTTTCATAAACTCTCTTAGAGATAGATTTTGTTGAATTTGCATTTTGTTAATTGGGTTGGTGTGTGGTCCTCAGGCACAACTGGCTATTAATCATAGCTAGTGTAGAATGGGTTAGCACTTACCACAATAACGATTAATTGGCCTTTGAGTCTCTTACAGATGTGTTTGGACCCCCGAGTATGGAATTCTCATGGAATTTCAGATCCGTCACATTGTAGTGTGACTTTCCCCCTCTCTTCTTCCTTTTCCCCCCAAAGTTGATGATTGAAGATCCTCTCATCAGTGACGTGATGGTAGTTGCTTTTCCCCATTCAGACCTTGAGCCAAAGGCAGCTATAAAGTAGATATTTTGAAACAGTATTGTAAACAGTCTTGTTTGTTGGGCTGTGGTGGTTTGATAAATGATACAAACTTCCCATGGTAATTCCCTGTTGCCAGTGCTCTTATGAACTATATGCATATCATTTTGTATGTAATCTCTTAAGTTTTCTTGGCAATTTGAATTGAGGAGAAATCACTATTTGAAGTTCTAAGAATTGTGCTACTTTTAAATTTTGGGAGTGATTTTGGAAATATTGACTTAAGTAATGCTGCACCTGTTTTAGTTAATATATATTTAAAAAATAATTTTGTTATTAAATCACTGTTTCTAAAATAAGCAGAAATTATAAGTGAGCTAGAAGAAGATGCAATAATCATGATTTTATCATCTATGGTGACCACTGTGAATACATTGGTGCATTTTTCCAGGTGGTTTTCATGTTTGCTTGCTTATGTGTATGTACATTTATTTCCACAAATGTTATTGTCCCTTCAGTTGTGTAACATGTTCAAAAATTTACACAGCAAAAGCACTTTTTAAATCAATAAATATTTGCTATTCTCTTAAATGGTTGCATTGTATGCATGTAACATTTATTAAACTGGTTTTCTAGATCTAGCATATAGGCAGTTCTCAGCTTTTCATTATTATGAAATACTTTTGATGAAGATAAATCTTATTCATCATATTAAGTTTCCAGGTGGATTAAAATTCACATAGCCCACTTGATAAAAACTGTTTTGTATGTAGCTTTTCTGCTTTTATCTAGAATTTGCAGTCGTTTCTTATTTACATAGGTTCCTGTTTCTTTACAAAAGACATGGTTCAAATAAACAGCTAATTTAAGGAGGTTTTTTTCCTTTCTTATTTTCCAGTATCCCTCTACTTACAAGGTAGTAAAAAGAGAGGTAACCATCAGCCAAAACAAAGCGAAACTCCTGGTAATGTTTTTGAGTCAGTATACTTTTTTCTTTTTTGCCTTTTGGGTCATACCCAGTGATGCACAAGGGTTACTCCTGGCTCACGCACTCAGGAATCACTCCTGACAGTGCTCGGGGGACCATGTGGATGCTGGGAATTGAACTTGGGTTGGCCGCGTACAAGGCAGACGCCCTACCTGCTGTGCTGTCGCTACAGCCCATGAGTTGGTGTACATTTAACATGATGCCTGGCAATGTGGATGACAGACAAGGGCCTATAGGACTATAAACAATGTTTTCTTAAAAATAAACTTTTATTTATTTATTTATTTTGGCTTTTTGGGTCACATCTGGCAATGCTTAGGGGTTATTCCTGGTTTTGCACTCAGGAATTACTCCTGGCGGTGCTTGGGGTACCGTATGGGATGCTGGGAATTGAACCTGCGTTGGCGCGTGCAAGGCAAACGCCCTAACACGTTGTGCTATTGCTCCAGCCCCGTTTTAAGTAAACTTTTATTGGAATACAGCCATACCATTTAAAATACATTATCTGGAAGCTTTACACTGCATTGGTAGGATTGAATAGTTAAAAAGGAAACCTGGCATAAAAGGTTCAAATATTGACTGCTCGCTAGCTCTTTACATGGAGAAGATTGTTGGTCTCTGCCCTGAGCCACGGGCTCCCAGTTATTTCTGCATGTCAGACTTAGTCTGTTGGCAGTGTCTAAAATAGGCTTTTCATTGATACTCTGACATCCTGTTTAGATGGCATTTTGTTGCTCAGCCAGTTTTATTCAGAATTGGAATCTAGAGCTTTAACAGAGGACACTCTCTAGTCCCAAGTTTAAGGAGTGTCTTTTCTTTGTGACCTCTGCTCTCCAGCAGGCTTTAGAGCTTAGGCGCCTCCCTTTACTCATGAGAACCGCTGATAAACTGGGCAGCAAGTGTCAGTAGGCACTGGGCCTTCTGTGTACCATCTATCAGAACCCCAGTTTCCTTGAGCTAGAATTGTACTGTGACTGGCCAAGAGCCTGTCCGGCCTTGTGTTTCTACGTGTGGCAGGGCATTCATTTTGAATCTGGAGAGAAGGCTGTGTTCAGAAGACTGGCGAATCTAAGTTTAGAGTGATAACATTGAGTCACTGTAACTCTGAATCACACAGAAACATTTAGTGATGACACTGGGCTTTATTCATTTACAAAGGTCATCTCTCCTCTCCCTCCCTCCCCCCACCCCTCTAGTGCTGCCCAGGGCTTCTCCGGGGTTGGTGCTTCAGGGTGTCAAGGGTCAGCCCATTGAGCTTTCTCTGACCTGGATGGTAATTTTTAATAAGAAATCTGAAATGTGCTCAATAAAGACTGAGAAAAAATGAAGAGAATCACTCGTACCTGGGCCAGCTGTGAAAATAGGGGAAGGTTGAAAATTGTGGTTGTAGGAATAGTCTGTTAAGATTGAACTTTCCCACGTACTTCTATGGAATCACTGGGTCATTCCTATCTTTATCTTTAGAGTAATACAATACATAATCACCAGAGCAAAATATAAGAGTAGGATAGATGTTACTCTTTCATGTTTGGAATAGTCTTTTTAGAATGTTATTTCTAGAATATAAGTCACTTTCAAGCTTTGTTCAGTGTCACCACCTTAGACCTTTTCTGACCATGTATAGAACACTTCATAACACCCTCCCTAATTTTCATGGTCAAAACACAACGTGCTGAACATTTGACTCACGTTTATTGTTTGTACCCATCCGTTAGCCTTCTTAGACTGTGCGCTCCATTGAGGGCAGGTTCTTTGCTGTCTGTTTTGTACAGTTTGTTCATTACTGTATCTCCAGTGCATTACGTATAGTAGGTATTCAATAAATACTGTTCATGAATGAATTCTTGGAAAGTAGTTTTTAATGTTTTACTTTTGTAAGTATGTATACACATCCTTGAGCAATTTTGTATTTTAGGCTAATGGCCTAATTTCTTAGAAGTGGAATTATTTAATTAAAATTTTTATCTTTAAAGGCTGTGGATTATATATGGATAGCTTGATCACCAAATGATCACCAAATGATTAAAACTTAAGTACTACCTTAAAACATTTATTTCTAAATCTATCAGATTCAGTTTTTGAGAATACAGTTTCAATAATATTTATTCATTTTTATTTCAGAAAACCGTGGAGGAAACGGGCCGCAAATGACAGTGCTCAGGACTTACTCCTGGCTCTGTGCTCAGGAGTCACCTCTGGTGGTGCATGTGGGACCACGTGTGGTGCTGGGGATCAACCCAGTATTAGCTGTGTGCAAGGCAAATTCCTTAACCCTTGTAATGTTTCTCTAGCCCTCTGTTATTTTTCAGTGGAGGGAAAGGGCCTACACCCAGTGCTGCTCAGGGATCACTCCTGGTGGGGTGCGGGGGACCATATGGGATGCCGGGGATTGAATCTGGGTCTGTGGTGTGCAAGGCAAATGCTGCCCTACCTGCTGTACTGTCGCTCTGCTCCCTTCTGCGTCATTTATTTTTATGCTTTAATTAGTGGTCCAGAGCTTAACAATATTAAGAGTTTATGCCCTTTATTGACCCATACAGGTAGTTATTTGTCTTTCGGTTTGTAGAATCAGTATGTCAGTCTACATCCGCCACAATAGTGTCTATCAAAGTGGCTGGTCCTAAAAACTCCAGCACCACAGTCACCTGCATCA